ATAGTTTATTTCCTTAAAGTCTACCTTGATATAGTTTGGCTGCATGAAGTCACTTTCTGCATCAAGTTTGTGTTTAATAAGTATTTTCATGTTGTTAACACATTTTTATCTGTCATTATATTTAAGATGTATCTCTTATATGCAGCTTATAAACAGATGTACCTTTTAAATTTGCACTAAAAATATTTGCCTTTGATTTGAGTTTGAGTTTATATAATGACTTTTGATATTGGTGTTTAAGTCTACTATCTTACTATTTTTCTTTTTTGTATTGCAATTGCTTTTTTGTTCTCATTATTTCAGTTTAAACATAGCTTTGACGTTTTCTGCTTGTGGAACTATAGACAAGTAAGAGTCACAGTGTTTAAATAAGCTTCGCCAAGTCTATTAGCACTGAATCTAGAATTCAGTCTTTCTGGCTCATAATGCTTCCCTTAATTGTGATTTATAAAAATGGTATGCTTGATTCTGAATCTACCAGTAGCTAGTGGCATGTCATTATTTATGTTAGACACTTTCTTATGATTATAAAAAATGATAATTGCCTTATATTTATAGCATTTTTAGTTTTCAAAAAATGCGTTTCTATTTCTCTGTAATATATAAAGAGAAATTATTAAAATTCACACTAGAATAGCTTCTATTTCAACTTGATCATTTAAAATTAGACCTCCTCAAATTTTTCTCCAGTTACTCTGTAGGGCTTCCAGGGGGCTAACTCACATGAGATCAGGAATAATTCTTCTGTTGTAGTCTTGTCATCAAACACACTCAGTGCTCTTTGCTGCAAATGGTGCACTTGGTATCACGGTTTACTGGGAGTCACACTTACCTCTGCTGATGACTCCAGTTTCTATTACTCAGTTAGCTTTGGCCAGATGGACGCTTCTATTTCCTTATTTTGTCTACTTTATTCCAAAGAGAACTTTATTCCTCATAGCAGAGAGACTAGGAGGCATCTTTTTTTTTTTTTTTTTTTCAATTGTACTTCAGCTTCTGGTGTACATGTGTAGACCATGCAGGATTGTTGCATAGGTACACACATGGTGAAGTGGTTTGCTGCCTCCATTTTTTGTGAAAATTTTATAAGAAAAGGTATCTAAAAATATATATAAATAAGCATGATTTTAATACAAAATTATATTACCATATTTGTGACACACTTGTGGATTATTTAGGACAACAGTCCTCAACCTTTTAAATAAGGACCAGTTTGATAGAATATAATTTTTTCATGAACAAAGGCAGGGGATGGTTTCGGGGTAAAACTGTTCTACTTCAGATCATCAGGCATTAGATTCTCAAAAGGAGCACACACCCTAGATCCCTCATAAGCACTGTTTACAATAGGGTTCAGGCTCCTATGAGACTCTAATTCTACTGCTGTTCTGACAGGAGGTGGAGATCCAGTGATAATGCTGAGTCACATGCTACTCACCTCCTACTGTGCCTCCTGGTTCTCAACAGGCCAAGGACAAGTACTGGTCCGTGGCTCAGGGGTTGGCAACCCCTGATTGAGGATAATAATGTTTGTCTTAAATTATTTTTAGCATATGAATTAGGGTCGTTAAACAAGCAGAAATAATCACAATAATTAAAGATATAAAGTAGTGCATTGAGGTCCGATCTAACACTTAAAAATTAAGATTAGTCTACATTGACAATTTACATGAACCTTTGTGAATACCCTCCCTACCACATCCCACATCTTGCCAAGAAGTTGCCAGTTGTTTAACCATTATAATTCTCTCTGAAAGTTTTTTAGGTGAATGTATACTTTAACTTGCCAGATCAGAACAGAAAACAGACAAAACAAAATGAAACAAAACAAAAACCCTCAAAAAACCCAGTTATTGGCACATACAAATAAATATAAGTAAGATGTAAAATGTGTTTCTGTCTTGGCATTCCATTTTATTAAATTTGGAAAACTGTATGTCCTTTTGTTATATCTCTAAATAGTTAGCCAAAGTAGATTCATGAAAATTTAAGCATTAAATATATCAGAGAGTTCTCCCACTTCACAGACTTTCATCCTTTATGTGACTGAATATACGAAATGGATAGGATAAAGGCTTTCTTCTTTAACTTCCCAAATGAACTTTTTGGCCTCAGGTTTAAAAGATGACAAGTCATTAAATACAATTCAATATTTATTAAGTGCTTACAGTATGTCATAGATTATTAGGTGTAGGTCAATAAGGATGAAAATGCCTTTGGAAATTCACAGTATAAAAAGAGGAAAATACAAGAGTTCACTTTTCCTATGAAGAATCAAGATCCCTAGCCAAGACCCTCTTAAAAATCTACACTTTGAAGCTATCTCTGACTTTAAAACCACAGTAATGATTTATAAAATATATTTTAAAATGAAAATTAAATAGAGATAGCTATCAAGAAACCAAGATAAACTTTTCTTTGAGTGATACACAGAACAGAAATAAAAAGCAGAGAAAATGACTAAAACAATTCTGATCCAGGCTACTTAGATGCTACAGAGAGATGGAGACTAAAAAGAACTTCCTTAGGTTCTTCCCCAAGGACTGGAGAAGGCTGCCCCCCAGGGAAACAAGGCTGAAGTAAAGCTGGGTCATCTACTGCTAGGCTGATGACTCATAGGAAGTGACGAACCGTAAAAGCTTAGAGACCACAGAGACAGCCTCATGATCAGCTCTGAGCGAGTTCCTTGCAAGTTATTGACTGCAAGTTCTATGCTCTGTGGAGCAAAAACTCAAAAGAATTATGAAAGAGAAGGCTGAGGTTTAAGGAGCAGGGGTTCAATAAAGTCCACTACCAAACCACCCAGCAGAGAGAAGTGAGTACTGAAAAAGAAATATAAAAATAACCCTTAAAATGTGAAAATTCAATTTCCAAAACACGTAGATTCTTTAAAAAGGCAGCTTAAAAATCCCCACCAAGCAGAAGATGAATGAAAATGAAAATAAAAGAAGAATCTGAACAATATTTACTTTGGGTTTATCAAAGAGCCAAATGGGGGAAATGGAACTGGAAAGAACAAGAAATAGGGATGCCCAAGAAGCCAAAGTTACATATGTAAGAAAAAAATTTATTAAAGTTAAAACAATTCAATATGTTGGAAATGACAATTATGGTCAATATAATTAAAATTAAAAAGAAATCTCAATTGATAATATTAAAATTATATTGGACTAATGAAAGTGAGAATGCATAAATATGATGCTAATTCATTAACAAGAAATGAATAAGTTAGACAGAGTAAGATATAAAAAACATGAGAACAATTGTGAAATTTGGAGGATAAACTAATAGATTTCATAGCATTTTAGCTAATAAATGTTGACAAATGGCCAAGAAGAGAAAGACAATAGAAAAGTGACACTCAAAGTGGTAATGACACAGTTTACTAGAAGTGAAGAAAGAAATGTCGCTAGATGTGAAATTAGCATAATAAAATTAAGTCAGCTACCAAAGTAAAACTGCAGAGCATCATGAACAAAAAAAACCTTAAGGTGCTACCAGAAGTAGTAGACACTGTCTACAGAGGAAAGACAGTGGTATTTAATCAGACTTCTCATCAGCAACAAGAGTAAAATCTTCAGATTACTAAAGAAATATATAATTCTATAACTGACTGAATTATTAAAGATGGAGGGAAATGATGATTGTTTTAGAAATATAAAGGCAGTAACAGTATATCTATATATTCTCACTAATAGAAAAAAGCATAAAGTAATGGCTTAAGAAACTTTACAGTTTCAAACTTAGAATAGTGGCTTCAAATGCCTGTAATTCAAGTTAATGAATTTTACATTTTACGTTGTAACTGTTGTTTCAGTTTTGTCAAACCATATGCTTATTTTGTACAATGCATTCTGATGTTTTGTTTTAACCAAACATGTCATAGAGATATTTTTTTAAAGCAAACATTGCTTAATATAAATTTAAATGATGTTCCTGCATTCAATGACCAATTACGAAATGTGATTAGGTTGAGAACGGTGGCTCACACCTGTAATCTTGGCACTCTGGGGAGCTGAAGAGGGTGGATCACTTGAGGCCAGGAGTTCAAGACCAGCCTGGCCAAAATGGCAAAACCCTGTATTTACTAAAAATACAAAAATGAGCCAGCCTGTAATCCCAGCTACTCAGGAGGCTGAGACATGAGAATCGGTTAAACCTGGGAGCCACAGGTTGCAGTTGCAGTGAGCCAAGATTGTACCACCACACTCCAGCCCGGGTGACGAAGCAAGACTCTGTCCAAAAAAGAGAGAGAGAGAGAGAGAGAGAGAGAGAGAGAGAGAGAGAGAATATGATTTTAAAAAAGCTATTTTTAAACTAGTAATAAAAGCAAAGTATGCACAAAACAACAAAACATTAACATAGTTTGTGAAGGACATAAAAGATAATCAGAAAGGGGGAAAATGTTACTTTCATAATGCAAAAAGTCAATTTCCATACCTATGGAAATTTGTCCTAAAATATCTTTAAATATAATGCAATTCAGAATGCCAAAATATCTCAGTGTGGTGGCATACACCTGTAGTCCTAGCCACTTGGAAGGCTGAGGTGGGAGGATCTCTTGAGTCCAGGGTTTTGAGGCTGTAGTGAGCTATGATTGCACCACTGCAATCTAGCCTGGGTGACAGAGACCCTGTTTCTAAAAAATAAACAAAAAACAGCCAAAATAATTTTTTAATGAAACTTTATATGTTGATAGTAGAATTAACATAGAAGATCAAAATGTCAATAATGGCCAAGGCAATTTTGAAGAAATACAAATTTGCAGTCTCTCCTTGACAAAGGTTTTTATTATTAGCAATCTAAAGTAATTAACATGATATGATATTACCAATATAAAACAGTTAAATGGGGATGGGGCAGGACCTGCACTGCCTCAGGATGTAAAGTGTAACAAGGGGGTTGGGGTGGGCAACGTGGGCCTGTAAGGCCTGTGGGTGCCCATATACCCCAGCTCCCCCTGCAGCTGACTCTGCAGCAGTCCTCTCTGGCTGATGCGTATGGATTCAGGTTCTACGGAAGTCTACCTGTTCTCCAGTGCCCACCACCTCCTGGGTCCCCCAGCTCCCCCTGCAGCCAGCTCCACAGTGGTCCGCTCTGGTTCCAAACTGAAGGTTCTGTGTTCCGTGACCACAACAGACCGGGGTTACTGCAGTGACCAGCAGAACAGCCTTGGCGTTGTGGAGCCCAGAGCTACCCCTCGGCCGTACTTGGGGTTGGTCTTTTAGGAGCTACCCAGGATTGTGGCCACATTGATGGAAAATACGGTATCAAATTCTAATGGTTTTCCGTGGGGATTAGTAATATGGGCAGGTGTCATTGGATTTTTTGCTATTCCCCTTTTTTTGTGGAAGACTATCAGATCAGTTAGGAGTTGGCTTTACGTGGGAAGAGAGAAAAAGCTTGCTGTAGTGCTTTGTGAACTAATTGAAAAAAAATGCAAAGTGCTTGAAAAATCTAGGTGTGCTCAGAAAGTGTTTGGAGACTATGAAGTACAGTCATCTTTACAGGATAACAGCTTTGAGAAGGAGGCAGCAGAAGCACAGAGTTTGGAGGCAGCCTGTGAAAAGCTTAACAGGTCCATTTCTGAAATTAAGGATGAAATATTCTATCTAGAAAAAGAGTTAAAGGAAGAGAAATCTAAACATACTGGACAAGATAAGTTGATGGCGGAGAGTTCAAAAATGATACGGTCACTAGAAGATCATGTAGCATCCCTCAAATCACAAATGGCTGAAGCCAAAATGACCTTCAGGATATTTCAAATGAATGGAGAACAACTGAAGTTAGCAATAAAAGATACTTTGAATGAAAATTCTCAACTTCAGGGAATCCATAAACAGCTTTTGCAAGAAGCTGCAGTATGGAAAGAACAAGTGAGTGAACTTAATAAACAGAAAATATCATTTGAAGACTCCGAAGTGCACACAGAACAAGTTCTAATTGATAAAGATGATCACATCAAGACTCTGACTGAACGCTTGCTGAAGATTAAAGATTGGACTCCTATGCTCAGAGAAGACAGAACGGATGATCATAACTTGACATTGGAAATGAACAGTGAATTGGAAAATGGTGCCTACTTAGATGATACTCCAAAAGGAGCTTTGAAGAAACTGATTCATGCTAAGTTATATACTTTAAAAACTTTACGAGGAGAAAGAAACCAAATTTATATTCAGTTGTCCAAAATTAATGAAACACAGAAAGATCTTAGAGACCATGTTAAACATCTACAGTCTGAACAAGCATCTTTACAGTCAGAAAACACACATTTTGAAAGCGAGAATCAGAAGTTTCAACAGCAACTTAAAGTAATGACTGAATTATATAAAGAAACTTTCAATGAGACTTTACAAAAAGTTAGAGAATGAAGAGGAGCTTTCTAACGTAGACAGAAAGCTCAACTATACCACTGACCAGCTGGAGAACTATAGAAAGCAAGTCAAAGATCTTGAAGAAAAGTTGGAAAGAATGATTCTTTCTTATCAAGGGCGGATGATTTTCTGTAAGAGAAAAGAACATGAAAATTGGTTGGCAGCTCAGACTGCTGAAGGAATCCTCAGTGATTTCAGGAAAGAAAATGCTCACAAGAGACAAAAATTAACTGAAATGGAGTTTAAATTCAAATTTTTACACAATGATCCTGCTGCACTTGATGTTCCAAATACAGGATTTGGCAGAGAGCATTACCCATATGTTACCAATATGAGAAGAGGGCCTCCTTGCCCCCCACCTCCTCCAGGAATCAGGTTGGGAGTTTCTCCACATGATTTTCCACCAAGAGATTTCCCAGGTCCACCATATGCTCCATTTGCAATGAGGAATGCCTATCCACCCAGGGCTTTTCCGCCTTACTTCCACCAAGACCTGGGTTTTTCCTTCCTACCCCTATACACTGAAGGGAGAAGTGAGATCCCTGCAGGGTGGATTCCATCGTCTAATGACCCTGCAACTGAACAAAAATAATTCAGATTGATATCCAGTTCCCTCAGAATTGATTCTGCCTTCAAATGAGCCTGGTACTGAACATCCGGCATGACAGCATAAAACCTGACTGCGTTTGACTCTCTTCCAAAGTAATTTAGACTGATTTTGAGTCCCCATCAGGGTTGACTCCACCTTCAAGTGAGCCTGCCACTGAACATCAGCACCACAGGAAGAAAGTCGATAATTTGCGTTATCCTCCAATGTAATTTTGACTGATCTTGAGTCCCCGTCAGGGTTGACTCTGCCTTGAAGTGATGCTGCCACTGAACATCCGGCACCACAGCAAGAAAGCTGATAGTATTTGTGTTCTCCTCCAAAGAGATTGGGACTAATATTGAGTCCCCATCACGGTTGACTCCGCATTTAAGTGAGCCTGCCACTGAACATCTGGCACCAGAGCAAGAAAGCTGAGAGATTTGTGTTCTCCAACATAATTTTGACTGATCTCTAGTCCCTCAAGGTTGACTCTGCCTTCAACTGAGCCTGCTACTGAACATCTGGGACCACAGCAAGAAAGCTGACAATATTGTGTTCTCCTCTAGAGTAGTTGTGACTGATCTCCAGTCCCCATCAAGGTTGACTCAGCCTTCAAGTGAGCCTGCTACTGAACATCCAGCACCACAGCAAGAAAGCTGACAGAATTTGTGTTCTCTGAGGTAGTTCTGACTGATCTCGAGTCCCTGTCAGGATTGAATCAGCCTTCAAGTGATCCTGCCACTGAGCATCTGGCACCACAGCAAGAAAGCTGACAGTACTTGTGTTCCCCTGCAAAGTAGTTGTGACTGATCTTGAGTCCCAGTTAGGGTTGATGCAGCCTTCAAGTGAGCCTGCCACTGAACATTGGCACCACAGCAAGAAAGCTGACAATATTTGTGCTCTCTTCCAATTTAGTTGTGACTGATTTACAGTCCCCATCAGGGTTGACTCTGGCTTCTGCTGAGCCTGCCAGTGAACATCCGGCACCACAACAAGAAAGCTGCCAATATTTGGGTTCTTCTATAAAATAATTTTGACTGTTCTCAAGTCCCCCCCATCAGGGTTGACTCCACCTTCAACTGAGTCTGCCAGGGAACATCCAGCACCACAGCAAGAAAGCTGACAATATTTGTGTTCTCCTCCAAAGCGGTTGGGACTAATATCAAGTCTCTATCAGGCTGACTCCATCCTCAAGTGAGCCTGTCAGTGAACGTTTGGCACCACAGCAAAAAACTTCACAGTACTTGATTCTCTTCCAAAGTAATTTAGACTGATCTCGAGTCCCCATCCGGGTTGACTCCACCTTCAAGTGAGTCTGCCACTGAACATTGACACAACAGGAAGAAAGCTGACAATTTGTGTTATCCTCTAATGTAATTTTAACTAATCTTGAGTCCCCGTCAGGGTTGACTCTGCCTTGAAGCGATCCTGCCACTGAACATCCAGCACCACAGCAAGAAAGCTGACAGTATTTGTGTTCTCCTCCAAAGAGGCTGGGACTAATATTGAGTCCCCATCAGGGTTGACTCCACCTTCAACTGAGCCTGCTACTGAACATCTGGGACCACAGCAAGAAAGCTGACAGTATTTGTGTTCTCCTGAAAAGTAGTTGTGACTGATCTCGAGTCCCAGTCAGGGTTGACGCAGCCTTCAAGTGATCCTGTCACTGACCATTGGCATCACAGCAAGAAAGCTGACACTATTTTTGTTCTCCTCTGAAATAGTTGTGACTGATCTTGAGTCCCCTTCACAGCTGACTCAAACTTCAAGTGAGCCTACCACTGAATATCTGGCACCACAGCAAGAAAGCTGACAATATTTGTGTTCTCCTCCAAAGTAGTTAGGAGTAATATGAAGTCACCATCAGGCTGACTCATCTTCAAGTGAGCCTGCCACTGAACACTTGACACCACAACAATAAAGCTGAAAGTATTGGAGTTCTCTTCCAAAGTAGTTGTGCCTGATCTTGAGTCCCATGAGGGTTGACTCAGCCTTCAAGTGAGCCTAACAGTAAGCAAACAGCACCACAGCAAGAAAGCTGACAGTATCTATGTTCTCCTCCATAGTACTTGTGACTGATCTCAAGTACCCATCATGGTTGACTCTGGCTTCTACTGAGCCTGCCACTGAACATCCAGCACCACAACAAGACAGTTGACAATATTTGTGTTTTTCTCCAACATGCTTGTGACTGATCTCAAGTCCCTATCAGGGTTGATTCCATCTTCAACTGAGACTGCTACTGAACACCTAGCACCACAGCAAAAAAAGCTGACAGTATTTGTGTTCTCCTCCAAAGTAATTCAGACTGATCTGTAATCCCTATGAGGGTTGACTCAGTCTTCAATGAACCTGCTACTGAACATCTGGGACCACAGCAAGAAAGCTGACAGTATTTATCTTCTCCTCTAAAGTAGTTGTGACTGATCTCGAGTCCCCGTCAGGGGTGACTCAGCCTTCAAGTGAGGCTGCCACTGAACATCCAGCACCACAGCAAGAAAGCTGACAGTATTTGTGTTCTCCTCCAAAATAGTGTGACTGATCTTGAGTCCCCATCACAGTCGACTCTGCCTTATACTGCTACTGAACCTCCAGAACCATAGCAAGAAAGCTCACAGTATTTGTGTTCTTCTCTCAAGCAATTTTGACTGATCTCAAGTCCCTATCAGGGTTGACTGTGCCTTCAAATGAGCCTGCTACTGACCGTCGGGAACCACAGCAAGAAACCTGACAATATTTGTGTAGTTATTTACTGTGGTTGTAGATAAATGTGATTGTAACTTTATGCCTAATTAAATAAATTTTTAGTTGATATAAGGACTTGTTTGGCATTAATAATTATAAAATCAGCTACTTTTTATATAAGAAAGTTAAATGATAAAGAACAGAGGGCTCAAAAGCAGATTTATGTATATATATAACCTGTATATAAATTGTTTTACATTGCGAATTTGGCATTACAAGTAAACTGAAAAATAATGAACAGCATTTCATGAATTATGCTAGAACAATTTATATGCAAAAAATGCAACAAAATGTTATCTCCAACTAAAACTCTATTCAAAAATAAATTTGAAGTATTTTGATAATGTATATATGATCAGCTTTTTAATATCAAAGAGTATATGATATTTTTATAAATTCAGGGTAAGAACAAATTTCACAAATTACGTACAAAAACAAATCAGGAAGTATACATTTAGCGTATTTCATCTCATGGTAATTGAAAACTGTTTGCAACAGAATCTATGAAGAAATTTAACAGACAAAACAAAACACTAGTGGTGTATAGTTCTAATCCTTAAAACCATCAAAGGATTACAACTGAAGCTTATAATGTACCACTACAGAGATGAAAATAAATATGTACAAGTTATGCTAGGAAACAGAAAAGAAAACATAATTATACTAAAGTATAGTCAATCTCGCCAACCATAAGGAAAATTTATAATGAAACAATGAAATTTTACACCCATAATTCGCCCAAAGTTTTGTGATGAGGAGAAACCAGACTTTCATGTACTATTGATGAAAATGACAATTTTATACAAGTACTCTGAAAAGCTATTTGTAATATTTAAAAACTTTGAAATGGTACAAATACTTTCACCCAGCAATGCACAGTTTAGAGAGAATAATGGTATATTGTGCAGTACTTTTTAAAAAGCCCTAGTGTACATCTATTTACATAGTTATCTTAAATACAATTTGATTAGAAATCATAGTATAACACAATAAAAGTGTTGTCAAATAATATTATGGTTTATGTGGTATTGAAAAGTATATAAAGAATACAACATACCGATTTTTAAAATAACATAGTAATACTTTTAAATTTTAACAATTTTTTGATAATTATATAATCAATTATGTTAGACATTTTCCTTAAATATAGAAGGCAACTGCCTGTATTAATTTTTGAAACTTTCTGTAAGCCTAAAGTTAGTTCAAAATTTAAAAATTAAGAACATTAAAAATTTTACATCATCAACATCTTGCTTTCTCTGGAGTGATAAAAGAGGAGAGAAAGAGAAATGGTATTGAGAGAACTATATATTTTCAACAATAGCTATAAGTTTATTCTTAAAAATGTGAAGCATAATATTAAGATTTGTCAAGTCATATTCTCTCTACTATTCTATCTAAAACATTTAATATTTAATAAAGTAAATATAAATAACTTTCAAGGTAATCACTTTTAAATATTAAAATAGACACCTTTAGTAAATTAATTGGTCAAATCTCATAGATATGCATGTTTGGAATTTAAATTGGATTAGCAACCATATTGAATTACATGAAAGTTGCTTCCTATCTTTCTTTTCTCTTATTTATACACATTGACCTTTGTTTAATCTCCAGCTTGATACTGTCAACAAATTACAATGAGATATAATTCCCATGTTTGTAATTAGGATTCAAACTTGTAAATGATAGCTTTATAGTATTTTTAGATTGCTTTTTCAAGACTCCTGGTAGCAATACTTCACTTTTAAGTTATAATTATATTTCACTGGAAATGTCTTTCTCTCTTCTTTACGAGAGCTATTTCCTTATTTTTTAGGAGTGTTTCAAAACATATTTGATTATATTGTTTTTTTTTTTTTTACTTAAAAAGGTTAAGAAGTCAGCTTTTAGAATGCATATATTTTTAATTTACTTATAAAATGCAGACATTCGTTCTCAAAATATAAGAATTTTAGATTTTTAAGTTTCAGTTTTTATAAAACACAAAAGGATACTTTTAGTCATCTATATTTATTAGCTAAATCAATTTTAAGATTGAGATAATTACAACTATTGAAAAGGTCTAGCAGAGTATTGTTTTATTATTTATTGCTAAGATAGAAAAGGGGGAAAAATAAAAAATGTTAGTTGTCTATAGGGAGTAAGCAAGATGGGAGGCATAGGTTAATTTTTATGGTTCAAAGGAAGATAAACGGTTACACAGTCATTGATTGTGGAGAGTAGAAGCTGCCATCAGTCATGATTAGTGAAAAGGA